TTGTAATGCAAGTTTGTATAACCTCGTGAATACAGCTACTGTCAAAGAGACGTAATGCGACTCGGCGTGAACTCTCTTAAAGGGTTTGTCATAGCTTGCATTCTACAGTTTATCTTACACTAAAAAAGAATGTAAGGAACTCTCTGGCAGCAATTTTCCGCCATGAATTCTCTCACTGTGACTGTATGGCTATAATAACAATTATATACAGCAAGGTCACACAGATCATTCCGAAGTTATTGGGTCGTGCCATTCCCGTTAACATTTGTTTTCTTTGTTATGCAATGAAATTGTGTTCTGGTGCAACTGGTTCATGCCAAGCCAACGTCTCGTACTTCTCCATTTTCTCTGTCAACTTAATTTTACTTTATTGTGTTGTCATTTCATGATAAATTCTATGAACTGAAAGCTTCTTCTTTGCTCTTATTTTCGCGACATGGCTTTTCTGTGTAAACCCCGAGTTTTCTCATCTAACCAGGGAAAGCTTCATTTTCGATTTCCATAAATGCTCGTATGTCGGATTTCCAATAAAAAAGCTAGACCTTGTTGGCTTTGGGACTTTTTTGCATGATCTTGTGACCTATATGAGAGATCTGCTGACGACGGGAAAATGTGAGTTTGCACTCTCTTTGTTGTAGAAATGTAAACCTTATTGAACTAGCTAACCTTGTCCAAGATCTGTGACACGAAGTAGCGTATCAGATATACGGTGAAATGAGAAATCTACAATTAACAAGCCATTTATAGGCTGTATATGAGATAAAACACACACACACACACACACACACACACACACACAGAAGAATAAAAGTGCTTGCACAATACATACATTCCTGTAGCGGCTTCCCTGCAATGTCAATCCCCTCTTATTGTGAAAGATTCATTCATCAAAGATTCATCCAAGATTCACTACATAACTTTGCACAGAGCTATCCACCCATCTCTCTCGTAAAATCAAACAGCCCATTGTGACGCACCTTCTCATTGTTTAATTGATTGAAATCTTACCTTGGTTATATATATATACGGGTATACACACTTGACTTTAGTAGCTTAAATCCTATCTTGACTCAAGGCCCGCAGTTTGGCGCTTTGGTGTGCGGGTTTATGAGCCCCTTTCCACTCCCAAGGTGCAAACTTGATGTGGACAATCCACGCAGCACGAGAGAGACGTGTTTTCATCTAACTCCTTCCTCTGTGATGTTGATAATATCTCTGGCGGCTGTGGCAGGTACCCGATGAACGCGCTGATAGCACGCGTCTCTGGTGGTCAAATAATGAAATAAGTATAGACCTCGAGAGTATCATATGTCTGTCCCACAGGTAATAATGGTCAGGTCTATATTTTAGACTGGCATTAAACGTTGTTTATTACAGGAACTCCATTTTGACCTATTGGTACTTGGGCCTGTTGTTGCGTGTAACGCGCTGCTGACCGATGCTGTGTCCACTTTCGTGTTGAGCTATCTCTAGTGAGGTGACCACTTCTTAAATGGCGACACCACCCACCGTTACGTGCAGATGGTTTATATCCCTTTTAACTTCGGTTTTATTCCGACGGTGGGCGTTTATATTACAATGTTGGCGTAGTCACAGTGTTTCATCAACCTGGGCCATCTCTATTGATGTGCTGGAGGTCATTGACCACTCCCTGTGGTCACGATGTGTGATTTTACCGACCTTTACTTATATACCGCCTTGCTTTCCTTTATATTGTAATATCAGTGAGTATTACATCAAGAAATAGTTTAGCTTCTTATTGGACTGTCCATTGGCTGTTGCAGTGAATGGCTTGCCTTTGTTGGAAATCGGCGTGGCATGCACGTCTTACATTTTACCTGTTGGCGGGGGAAAAACCGCGAACAACTTGATCTCTATGTCGTGTCGGGTGTCTAAAATGAAATATAAGTTTAATGTAAAAACATATCTATTGATTTAATCGAGATAAATGCTTTCGGAACAGTATTTTTCTAGCACGCCATATACTGGCTGTGTAGATTAAAAATAATAACAAGTAACACAGTATCTAACTCGGTGATAATAGCAGTGAGAGCGTGTAATTCCCCACTGGAAAGCCGATGTAAATTGAATCTGTAAGAGCGCTGGTAATAATAGACTCCTCAATAATCACCGAGTAATAACCCCCCCCCCCCCCCCCACTCTCAGTCTATTCAATTCATTAAACTATGCAGAACTGTTCACTCAAAGCCTGACTTAGAACGAGTGTGAATCGAATCACGTCACTAGATGGCCACATGTTAATTAGGCAGTAATTTATAGCTGCATGGGGCACCACAGGGTCTATTCACGGGGGTAAGGACAGAGAAGAGGGGGGGGGGGGGTAGAGTTCCCCTGGGAAACACGATATACCCCTGTTGTCTGATATCACAGGGGCCTCTAGAAAAAGTTTACAAAACCAAAACTGAAGAATCCGATCGAATAATTTTGTAACAGACTACTAGCTAGTGGATCCATGTCGTAGCTGTGTTGCTGTTGTGGTTATATGTGCCTTGTAAAGATACACGGTATATAAAGTATATAGCACAATCGCACTGTGTCCAAGCGGGGCTCACACCAACACTGGGTCAGTTTTACAGTCGCAGTCTCTCAATTAACTTGTGACAGTTTAATTCAGATCTCACTATTATTACATCTAACCATGTAAACTGTGGAAAGCCAACCAATGCAAGGCTATGGGCGCATTCCCATAGATTTTAGATCGATCTATCCCCGTGGGGAGTCTCACTAGATTACTGTCAGAAAATCCGGCTTAAATGTCCGTCCCGCCTACTACAAGCTGTAAGGGTGTAATTAACTTTTGTGCCCGCTCGTGAACCCCCAGGGAATTAGGTCGATCTAGTTGGATCGATCTAATCTTTGGGAATGGGGTCTATATGACCATGATCATGAACGCGTTGGGTGGTGCTAAACGAGGATTAGATGGGCTTTTTTTGTGGTTAGAAACAGCACTCAAAGCGGCCTGGGCCCCGTAACTCGAAAGCATCGTGGATTGCGACCTAGCACAAGCGTCTCGATTCCATAACTCGCCCATACGCGCCTCATGTAATACATTGTAGCTTCTATGTGATGTCGCTATTCGCAATACGCGATGCTTTCGAGTTACGGGGCTCTGCTTTACAAAGTTGATTTTTAGTGAAGACGTCACTACTTGACTGGAACTGCAACCCAACAACCGTCCGCGGACACCTGACCTACACTCACTTCTCTTAATTACGTCACACGATTTTTTCTTTACATGTTATTTGACTGGCTGGGGTTCGGTGGTGCTCCGTCTCTTCTCCTCTTCCTCTTCACCGGAACACCGCTTTCTCATCCTCTTCTTCCTTGCAAGAACATCTTCTCTCAAGATCTTCTCCGGACTTCAATTCCGTGGTAAATGGAGTCGTTTGCCCTGCAATGTGCGGTAGACCGTGTCCCGGGTCACTCAGAAGCTGTAACTTACCGCAATATGTGGTACCTACTATGGATATTACACTCATGAGAGCCCTTGGAACCCAATAGAGCAGTGTAACCGTCGACTCAATGGCTCAATGACTCAATGGCATGGACTTTACCTGTATTGTCGCGGCTGAGCGAATGGCATTTGCCGCACTTTTTACATTACATTGTACTTTATATGTCAACTCCATGACAATTGGCGTGAGATAGATAGATCAGCACAAAGAAAGAAAAAATTGCTTAACTTCACAATATACAACACGATAAAAACATTTGACGTGTCAACCGGGGAGCAACATTTTGAAAGCGGTTCGGTTTTAGGTCGTTAATAATTAATGCATGTAAGCGCACTGTACCTTAATTAAGTTCAAGAATCTTCTTCCGCGACGGGCGTATTTTCCTTTTTCTTTAAAACCAGGTTTGTTCGTCAGGTTAACCGCTAACTGCAGTGAAATCCGCGTGCACCTCGTCACTTGGACACTGCTCGGCACTGTAGTGCATCTCCTGCGTGGTCTTTTGTTCAAGCGATATCTGCTTCTCTCGTGCCTCTGCTAAAACGCAGCATAAAAACGACGGTGAAAAGTGTCACAATATACGCGACACATCTCTATGACTGCGTTTCCATTAACTCATCGTACTAGCTGGGCCGATCTAACTCCGTGGGGCTTTTCGCTTAAGTGCTTTCAGTGTAGTCAGCTTAATTGCCTGGCAATCGCCCCTTAAGTAACTGGGGGGGGGGGGGGTAATTGACAGTCGTTAATTACCCTCTAGCAGCTTGAACAGGCGACCCAGACATTTCACACGCTTACACTGAATGCAAATTAGAGAGAATCCCCATGGAGATAGATCGATCCTGCTAGTACGATATGGTTCTGGAAATGGTCCCCATGAGTACCGTTACTTTGTCCTTGCCATGTCATTGATCAGCAAAGTACTGTTGTATTATTTAAGAGTACGGCGTGCGTAAGTTGTGATTAATGTACCTTGCAATGACCCTCACCCATTGTCAGGGGCATCCGTATATAGATTAATAAAGCGACCTCATAAACAAGTTCCGGATATCATGGCGAAGGGGGGGGGGGGGTTACTGGGGTATGGGATAAGTCTAAACAGAGCAGTGACAAAATACTGGGTGACCCTAATTAAGGACAGTTCCCACTTTCATTTAGCCCTGTCCTGTTATAACAATATAAATTGTTGATATTTTTGTCGTGTCAGACTTCCAGCTGACCCAAATCCGGTCCCTTATTCTCCATGAGTCAACGTGTGTATGCTGAGTATAAAGCGAGGAGAAAACGTGTGTATCTTAGCCTTTGAAATGACCGGCCCCTAACTTAATATTAACACTCTGAAGAGATCCAGTCGTTTTTTTGCAGCGAACGGTACCTTTACAGGTATGTTTTCAGAGACTGACAGCTTGACACCCTGGGTCCTGATGACAAGTCTCAAAAAACAGGTGACACGACTTTAACGCAAAATTTATCTTATGCAAAAAAGCCTCAAGTTGGCATGGCATAAGTCCCCTCCTTACCAACCTAACAGAAACACCACAGAAGTCTTCCTCTGACGTCACTCGTCTCTGTACCGTACATGTCCTGTGGCAGTACCTGGGATATAAGGATCTCTACAGCACCCCCTGGTGGCGTAACTACACTGCGGTGAAGTTCACTTAGTGCAAAAAACCGCTGCACAATAAAGCCAATGTTATATTGTTTAATACCCCACGAAACTGTGGCCCATTTCATTCTAGGTGACACGGAGCGAGATTTGGTGACACTGATTTGCTGATTTGACACCTCACACTTTAAAAGTTATTGTTAAGTTGAAGGATGGTGAAATGAGGTAACCTTTAACGCATTATACAAACATGCTATAAAGATACCCTTATAATTTTGAGTGGATAAATTGTATACGGAATGACCTTGAATTAATGGGTCTGTCATTTACTTTTTTATGAAAACAAGTCGGATGTTTGTATACTGTCTTTGATAGAACAAAGATTGAAGGATCATTTTAGACAAGTAATGACGGGAGAAATATTCACAGCCAGTAAAGGGCTTCTGTATCAACACCTTGTTGATAATTTCACAGTGCAATTTTACTTGAATAAGCTAATTTCACAGAAAAATAAGGAATATATCGCAAAATTTAGGCTCTCATCACATAATCTAGCTGTAGAGACTGGCCGATACACAGACACAAATAGGAAATTAAGAATCTGTAAGTTATGCAATTTAAACGATGTAGAGGATGAATTTCATTTTATTCTTAAATGCCCTCACTACAACACGATTAGGCAGAAATATATTAAGAAATTTCATTATACAAAGCCAAGTGTCTTTAAATTAATTAAATTACTATCACTTAACAATGTATCACAATTAAACAATTTGGGAAAATACCTGAAATGTGCATCGGAACTTAGATTAATGTCAATCTGATGAATTATTATTATTATTATTATTATTATTATTATTATTATTATTATTATTGTTGTTGTTGTTGTTTGTATCAGTAGTAGTTGTTGTAATCATGGTAGTTGATTAGATATAACTTTATATTGTCACTGTTTTATATTCTGATGAGCCGTAGGGCTTAAAGGTTTAATAAATTGAAACGTGGTTTAATCACAGCGAAGGAAATAAATGAAATCGTGACTTTGAATGAGTCACACGGCCTTTATTAAGGGANTAGAAAACTAAAAATCGAGTTTTAGACGTATTTTTAATATCCTAGACCCCTTAACTTGTTGCTCTCTACTCGCTCCAAGGGGTTTGAGGATCGGTTACTGTAGGTGATATGACACGTGTAGCCACCTGTCTGTCCCTCTGACCTTATTAAACTCGCGTTCTAAATAAAATCACAGGCACCCGGATGTGGACGCTTGACGGTATAGTCTCCTTGCGACTGTCAGTTTTGGGTGTCACGGAGCAATGTGGATGTAGACCTAAATATACAGGCTCATCATAATGACAGCTCAACTAAACTAAAAGAGGAGGCTATTGCAATCAAGCTTCTTAACTTATTGAAACTCCGTATGTTTTCAAGGCCTTGGAACACGCCCACTTTCCCTCTGTTATTGTTGCACTCACCCCCCTCCCCTCCTCACCCCCCCCTCAACCCCACCGCCAAAATGTTTAAAAGATGGTGCAATAATAAGAGGTGATATTTTGGGACCATTCAGATCGAGAAGAACCGAGTGCTAGCTAGGCCGCGACCTAAATATGGCGGACCTACATGAAAGGAATACCGCTAATCCTGTAATGGGTCTCTCCGCCTCTTACCCCCCCCCCCCCCCCCCCCCCCCCCCAAGCGTTGTCCCTCGACCGGTAGAATTGAGCTGAGATTTAATTACTGTGTCCCTGCAGGGACGGCGCGTGGGAACGCACCCTGCGGGCAGCAAGGGGTCCACGCGGCAGGTGTTGGGCGGTGCCATGAGTTCTGCCACAGATACCGTCTACCCGCTGAGCCGGGGTGACCTTGTTACCCATCATACAACCTGAACTGACCTCAGTGAACTTGGCTTAACAATTGAATGAATGAGTGAATTAATGGATTAAAAAACGAATGGAATGATCTGAAGACGCGTTTGGACAGGGAATCAAAAGTGGCGTCATCCAGCGAGCCAACACTCGGAGGTGTTCAGACGTGGCAGTCTTCAGACCGGAGCCCAGTGGTCCGAGAGAACACAAGTTGGCCTTCAACGTCGGACCTGGAATACTGTTCCAGCTGGGACTGACATAATTCTATATCATGGTGAAGTCAATTGTCCGGTATATTCCCTAAAAGAACCATGCATTGTGTTGACAACAGTAGGCCTGATTCTCGGTTGAAAGATGTCCCTGTCTTAACTAACGCATGTCAGCCAGTTTCACACAAAAAAAAAGGAATTGTCCAGCAAATTTTTTTTTATCAAACGATGCGCACCGGCAGAACATCTATTTGCAGGATAAAGAAATAAATAACAGGTTTTGTTTATTGACCTATCACCGCTCTTTCATTGCGTCTAAAGACATATTTTGTATTTATCTAGAATCTAACGGAATTACACTTTCTCAGTATGGGTGAACGGTCCGCCCTGTGGTTATACTTGTCGTGATATTCAGTGTCGGGGTTATAGTACGGGGCGTGGTGCACAAAAGAAACCTGACTCTAATTACAAATGAAGATATGTCTATTTCAGTTTATTACAAAGCTACGGCATTTCACTGTTACGAAGACATCGTTGTTTTGTTACAATAACCATAACTTTCGTGATATATAACTTATGGTAAACTGTTGTTAACTCCACGCCTCCGTGGTCAATGTAGAGCACACATTATTTGGCAAAATAAAAAATAAAAAAGATAAAAAAATAATAATAGTAATAAAAATGAGACCAATGTTTGGGCTTACATTGTTTTGTAAGTATAGCTTCTGGTTACCAGCGACAGCTTACATTGTACACACACCGCAGGGTCAACTGACGTACCTGTCCGACCTCAGCCTCGGCTTGCTGTCTGAGCTTCTACGGCACACATTAGGTCACGGAATCAACGCTCATCATCGTTGTTTTTAACTCCTTTCACAAATCTCTTATTTTTACTAGGGATAGAGAGAAAGGCTGATTTGAGTACTTACGATGTGTGAACTATTTGCAGTCTCAAGCGAACGTGGCCTCAGAAAAACCACCCACACGGGAAACTTGACTGCTTGTTGGCCCGCGACCCGTACCTCCCAGTGTTCTGCTGGCCTCGAGAACCCCAACATTTAACTCGGTCCTCTCACGAGAAATCTGTAACATTCATCCTTATAAAAACCAAGCTACAAAGAGTTCAGTTTACACTGTTAAACAATACCGCTCACGTGACATGCATAGAAATCAACAGTGTTTCTCCTGACGTCTTTGTTAAGTTTGTTTTCTTAACTTAAGGAGACTCAAACGACACTCTAGGCACATTATTCAATACATTTAATTTCGTTTACGGTAAAGGTGCATTTACAAAATGAAAAAAAAAACCTTTTAGCCAATTGTGCCTTAGCTACGCATGTGTAACTATCAAATACTATGTTTTCGCGCCTGTATGCTGGTATTT